CGTATACCCTGAACAGCTAGATAATATGAAACCAATTTAACATGTGAAAAGAAAGTAATACATTTCAAACTGAGTATCAGGATTATCAAGCAACTCTATCTCAGTCATAACATAACAAGATCCACAAAACATATTAGCTGCAAAAAAAAATACTATGCTAACAAAATAACAAGGTCCACAGACCACCCTAAGTTCCCTCATCAGGTCTCGACACTATCACTTCACTTCTTGGCTTTCTTGGCCCTGTAAAATATTAGGTCTCGAGTTAGATAATCATACATTAATTGGAAACAAATGTTGGTACAATTACAGAAACTCTTGAAACAGATTGCGACAATCAACTTACTGTGTTGGCTTAGGAGCAGCTGCTGGAGCGGCAGCTGCTTCAGGTTGTTTGGGTGCTTCAGCATTTGGTCCCTGTAGAATGGACAACAAAAATTATAATATAAACTAGTGGCTAGAAAATACAAGTTACAAAACATTATTTTCAGATATAACAGTATATATTGCATATGAATTTACCAGAGCCAAACGCTCTTCTCTTCTGGCCAACTTCCTCTCCCTGCTAGCCTTGTTCTTGGCACGCTTAGCCTCAAATTGGTCGGACAAGGTCTTGTCTCTTGCCTTCTCAGCCTTGGTCTTGTGGATGCTCTCCATCAATACCCTCTTGTTTTTGAACACATTACCCTTGACCTTCATGTACATGTCATGGTACATGTGCTTGTCAATCTTCTTTGACTCTCGGTACTTGCGGAGCAACCTCCTGAGAACTCTCAACCTCCTCATCCACAAAATCTTGGTTGGAAGCCTTGCCTCCCTGGTACCCTTACGCTTACCTAAAGTAAGCCAAAATCACGCTTAATATCACATAGTTTAAGTATAATCATCATCCTTCATAGTTAATTCAACTCAACTATCAACTAAATGGTTCCCATTTTATCAAGTAACAGCCAACAGGCCCGACACATTTATCACAAGATATGTCGAATGAGGGATCACTGCTAATTCCTGTGACTAGATACTTATTGAGAGGAACTTCATACACAGCAGCTACTCATTATACAGAGCAACAATTTTAGACAGCAGAAAATTTGACAATACACTTTATCCAGGTCGATGATATGCATACCGTGTCCTGAGTGACGACCCTTCCTCTTTGCCTCCATCATACGACGAGCACGAGACCTTGAATGAATCTTGGTAGGCTTCCTGATGATGAAACCATCCTTAACCAACTTTCTGATGTTTTGACCTGAACAAATCAATCAAACATAAATACCTATTCAGCCACATCTAATTACAAACAAAACCTCATTCACAAGTCAATCGGCAGCAAAATAACTAGCTTCAACTGCATAATAAAAGCCATATCGATGCCAATTAACTTCACAAAATTATTGCAAAATCACAATAATCAAGTAGCATATAACAGTAAAAATGGCATAATAAGACCTATATTGAAAAACAAGATACCTCCTTCAAACTCAAAAACAAATTTACGCAGAAAATTCGTCATGTGCAAAGCTCATATGTTCAAATTTCAAGTTCTAGATTTAAAACTGTGACAATTAAACACTAACAAAATCGATCGATAAATGCAATTCGTAAATAATTATGATCTCATCAGAAAACTTCCTACAATTCGATCGAAGATACATCAAAAGATTACCATTTTCCAGAAAAATTCACATAGACAAGCACTAAATAAACCATCTCAGAATTTCTAGGGTTCTAATTCATATAATCACCATTAAAAGCAGAAAAACATCAAAATCTAACAATCGATTGAAAAATAAATCACAATTACAAAAGAGATTGAAAAGAAAAAACGAAAAGCAATCGAAGTCAAAGGATTAAGAGAGAGAAGGAACGTACGAGAGTTAGCCATGGAAATTTCATTGCCTTCATTAGGATCAAGCCAAACCTTGCCACGACCACACTTGAGGATATCAGCGGCGAGCCGCTTCTGAAGCTTCAAAGACACCATTGTTGTTACTGCGAGTTTCTCTCTCCTCTCACTCTCTCTGTGGTGGGAGCTGCTAGAAGATGGGAAATGGAGGAAGTGGAGGCTTAAATATCACCAGTTTTCAGAACTAGGGTTTGGGATTAGGGGTTTACCCATTGCCCTTTTTTCTTGGGTTATTATTGGGTTGGGCTTTTTTTTTTTATGGCTTTGTTTAAGTATTTAATGGATTGGTTCGTATAGTTTTTTAATTTGAGGTCTAAAGAGAAAAAATACTTCGTATGCTAGATGGTGAAGTTAACATATCTACCTCGTGTATTTTGGGTGAACTTTTATCTCTATCTCATAAGTCAATTCTTAAAGAGATTGGTATTATTTTTTTTTTTTTTTAATTTTTTTTTTTTTGAAACAGTAAAGAGATTGGGGTTCTTAACAAGTACTACCTCTACCCTTTTTAAAATGTATCAATTTAACTGGCATAAAGTTTTAGGTGGGCGAGTTAAATAGAAAAGTAGAAATGGAAACTATGTGAGACATACAATAAAAAAAATATTAAAAGAAGATGTTCAAAACCAAAGTGAAGATGGACTTAAACACCATGGCAACATTCCCCTATACTTAGGAGTGTCAATTTGGGTAAACAGTTTGGGTTTGGATTGGGCTTATCAGTTTCAGGTCGTAAAGGGTCGGTTTATAACGAATTGAAATGATTAGCGGGTCGGTTTTGAAGATCATCGGGTCAGTTCGATTTGTTTTTTTTTTATTGAGGTTTCTTTTCGGGTCGGGTCCTAATCGGGTCGGGTTGTAGTTGGTTCGGGTCATAATCAGTTTGAGTTGAACCGGGTCGGTTTGAAAACGGGTTTAGCCGGTTTAAAGTGGGTTTCGGTTCAAAACAGTTCGAGTTCTAATCGGGTCGGGTTGTAATCGGTTCGGGTCATAATCAATTTGGGTTAAACCGGGTCGGTTTGAAAATGGGTTTCGGTTCAAAACAGATCGGGTGAAAATCGGAGGTTCGGTCATTATTGGTTCAGGTCATTATCGGTTTGAATTGAACTTGGTTGGTTTAAAAACGGGTTTACCCAATTTGAAGCGGGTTTCAGTCCAAATCATATTGGGTTTAAATCGAGTCGGATCATTATCGAGTCGAGTTAGTTAGATAATAGGTATGAACGGGTCATGTTATAATCAAGTTAAGTCATAAATAAGTTGGGTTTATCGAGTAGTGGGTTGAAACGGATCAGATCATAAACATATTAGGTTACAGGTTGTAAACGACTCAGTCACAATGGGTTGGGTTACAGGTTGTAAACGGTTCGATCTTAACAGGTTACAGGTCGTAAACAGTTCGGTCTCAACGAGTTACGGGTTGTAAACGGTTCGGTCATAACGGGTTACGGGTTATAAATGGTTCGATCACAATGGGTTGCAGGTTGGACGGGTTCAGGTTTATCGGATTTTGGCCTGGTTTAAACGGTTTTCGGTTTAGAATGAGTCGGGTTACTATCAGGTTCAGACGTAATCGGTTCGGGTTGTTTTCAGTTTTCGGGTTGTAACGGTTTGGCTTGATAACGGGTCGGTGTTAGTAACGGTTCGCACAAATTTGGATCAGTCAGGTTCGGATTAGAAAAAATGGGGACGGGTCGGTTTTCGGTTTTCAAAAAACGGGTTTTTAACGGTTTAGTTCCTTTTCGGATCGGTTCGAAACAGTCGGGTTTAACGGTTCGGGTCAGAAACTAACAACTCTACCTATACTACTTGCCCAATGTAGCTTCCCCCCTCCCAACATCTAAATATACGAAACAATTTTATACAAACAACTAATACAATTAGCTAGTCAAAACATATACGGAGTATAATAAACTAGTTATCTGATAATTACTAAACAACTACTAAAATTAAATGCTACTCGTAATGAAGTCTTAGATTGTGGTATTTAAAATTTTGGGTCCAATTTATTTTGGGTGAATTGTTATGGAAATTTTTTTAGGAATTCACTTATTGAATATGCACTTTTGTCTATGATTTTTCCCCTAACTTTTTACCACTGAAATTGGAAAATTTTAAGTAGCACTATCCATTTATGTTCGATAAGAATGTATGATATGTGAAGTCCACTCCTTAAATTGGTTCTAACCATCGACTTTATAATTAAACCAAATAATTTTATTCAAACAACTTCATGATTTAGTTAGTCAAAACATATAAGGAGTATAATGAACTAGTTATTCAAAGAAACTAATTTAATGTAGTCAACTCTTAATAACTAGCTATTCACTAATTATCAAACAATCCTAAATACAATAATCAAAACATCTAATGCAACTAGCTATTCACTATTTACTAAATAGGGCCTTTAGGATATGATCAAATGAGGCAAATGAGGGTAGGATAAATGGATAATGATGGAGAATTCGTAAGTGAAATAAGTATACAAGTATATAACAAATACCTTTTTTATTCGGTATGAGTTGGGAATACAATTAGGTCCATTAGGATATGTAGCAAAATAAAAATACAACTCTCCCCTTCCTTTTCTGTAAGTTGTATCATCATATCTTTAATTTCTTATTTATTTGAGATTACAAACATGTCAAAGATTCAATGTATAAAAGAAAAATGAAACAGAAGCAGGTCACTTTTGTTTAATTATCGAGCTTGTGCACGGTTCATTCATGTTGTTTAATTAATTTTCGATTCAAATCAAAATACTACATCAAATTAGTTTCAATCAAGCTCGGTTCAAGTCATCAGAATTCACAACGTCTAGTTAATTCTTAATGACTTTGCTTCATTTTAAAGCTTAACATGATTCATAAATTTCAAGTCAAAGCTAATCAGATTTTGAGTCCATTAATATCGTCAAATTTACTTTCAAGTACTTCTCAGCATTTTCTCTCAAAACCAACAATAAGTGGATCAGAGTACTATTAGACTAATATCATAAGTATATTCCGTATGCAAATAATGCAATATATAAAATTCTTAGACAAACTTAATACATAATTATTTTTGAAACACTACAAACATTATACTACATTCATACCATAATCAAAGGTATTGTGACACTACGCTTGCCATCAGTCCAAGAGACTGAACTAGTAGCTTGTTCATTTAGCATGATTCCTTGATCTTTCAAAGCCGAAATTGTAACAGAAAAACTTTGCTTATCCCATTTCTTCTTGAAACTTAATTCAAGAGGATTAACAGTCACATTAAAACCTGCAGGACTCGAAACTTTCGCGGTATACGTTGATGCAGTAGAACCCACACTTGTTAAAGTCCTATTAAACACTTTACCTTCAAAATCAGATGGCACAACTAAGGCAGGGTAGTTTAAGTCCCACTCGTTAACCTTTGATTTTTCGTCGCAAATAACTGATTTTTTCACTATGATTTTCATTTCAGTCGCATTGTACCCTGAAGCACATAGATTTTGAATGAAATCATCTTCACTGATATCATATACTAGCCCTGGATCATTCGCCTTTTCGGGATTCACGTGTCCTGCACCAGTAGCCCAATAAGACACCTGATCTTGATTTTGTGTCATCCTGCTCATCTCATGGTAACCAATATACGCCGTGGTCATCAAGGCGGACTTGATCATAGCCGGCTTCCAATCAGGATGAGCACTCTTAAGCAAGGCGGCTAAACCCGAGACATGAGGGCAAGCCATAGAAGTGCCTGACGCGATATTATACTTAGTAACCCTATGGTCCTCTTCCAACCTAGAAGGCGATACGTCTTCAGGCCAGGCAGCTAGTATATCAACCCCCGGCGCGATCATGTCAGGCTTCAGTACATACTTAGACACATTATTTGGTCCTCGAGACGAAAATGAGGCAACCACCGGAGCCGGTTTTTCGCCTATTTGAGTCCCTCGAAACACAATGGTCCCTTCTTTCACTTTCTGCTTACTTATCTCATCCAAGAGCTTTGTAGTTGCTCCAATAGGTATGGTTAACCCTGGTATCGTATACGGGTCACTTTTTTGGGTATCGTTTTCGCCTAATGTAGGATCATTCAAGGCGACAATCACACCCACTCCACCAGCTTTACCCACAACCACCCCTTTCTCAACTTTGTTGATTAGCCCTGGCGAGCAAATTACGATCTTACCCTTTACGTCAATAGCATCTAATGACCCTGGCAAACATTGTTCCAAAGCATAATCTTTTGCGAAATGTACTAAAGGGAATGTTTTATTCTTTGGTAAGGGTTCCCCTGTGTAGAGAGAGCTGCCTGAAAGAACCTCACCGTTGTCGAGGATGACATCAGCAGGGAATGTTCTATCAATGGTGCTAGCCCCGACGGAGATGTACCACGGGGCGGAAGCCGAAATTTGTCCAGGTAAAGGTCCGCCATTTCCAGCTGCAACTGACACAAACACCCCCTTTTGAAAAGCACCAAATGCGCCTATTGCAATAGGGTCTGTGGTGTAATCACGTGATGCGACGGGGCCTAAGGAGAGAGAGATGACATCCACGCCGTCCTCCACGGCTTTATCCATGGCAGCTAGTACGTCCGATCCAGAGCACCCGAACGCCCAACATGTCTTGTAGACAGCTAGCCTTGCCTTGGGAGCTATGCCTGTGGCTTCGCCTTCTGCGTACCCAAAGAAGGAGACATTTTTGGGACTCGTACGGCCTGCGATTGTGGAGGCCGTGTGAGTCCCATGTCCGAAGTCATCTCGAGCTGTTATGGGTTCGCCTTTAGGCATTGCACTAGCGAAACATCGTACGCCTACAAGTTTTTTGTTACATAGAGAAGATGGGAAGTCCACCCCTCCTTCACATACACCCTTAAAGTGCAATGGTACCGGGTCCATCCCTTGGTCGTTAAAGCTCGGGTGCTCGGGTTTGATACCCGTGTCAATGACTCCAACCACGACGTTAGAGCCTAAGTTGGAGTCCTTTAGCAAGCCTGACGGGGTATGGTACGTGTCAAGGCCAAGGAAGTGGGGTGATCTTGTGATTTGAGGTTGGTAGACTATGTCTGGAATGATAGAAATGACTTCAACTTGAGCTCTTAATGAGTCGGCATGCTCGGGCCTAAGCCGGGCCGAGAAGCCGTGGAAGACGGTGTTGTAAACATGAAGCAAGGAATCACTAGGATTAGAATTAATTCTACTAAGAATGGACTTGTACCAATCCTCAACATTGGAAAATGCATTGGGTTTGAGGTTGTTTTGGATACTAATAATGTAAATTTGTTTTTGTTGGTTACTATGAAGATTATGGTTTTGTACTGCCGTGGTGTAACGTAAGGAGAGAAAGAGTGTAAGAAAGATGATCGAAAAAATGTGAGACATTGTAAAATTTTGTGTTTGAGAGTATAAGAACTCTTGTTATGCTTTCATGCATTTATATACTACTAGGAATAGTTTAAGAAAATTAATCAACGTCAATAGAATTTATTTTGAATTAGAGTGTGAAATGACTCTACCAGATTTCATTGCATTAAGTATGCATGAGAATATGGGAGGATTTTACAAGATAATTACATAAAAGGAAATCCTTGATTAAAAAGAGGCAAATTGTTCCATTGATAAAATGCCTTAACTAAAATTTTATAATGGGGATTGATTCATAAGGACATTTGAAGGTAGATGAATAATGCGATTATTTAATACATTATGATTAGTTTGAACAGAATTAATGAGTTAATGCGCAAAATGTATTATCAATTGGTTTTACTAGTTATCGTGTCATGGGATAGTAGTTTGTGAGTGCAATGGCTCAATTTACTTAAAATGTGGAAATGAGACAAATAGTTGCACAATGATCAGATGGCATCATTACATAAATGTTGAATGGAGTTTGTTGTAGTTGTTAATTTTGTGGAATGACAGATAGCACTCTTACCATGTTTGTTGCACGAACTAGTATCTTTAGATTCTTTACCACCTTCTTCTCCACTATAGTCCACTTCCTCTGCTATGCTTCCTCTATTGCATTGGTTACTTGGGGAGGTAACTACGAAGTAATATAGCTACTAAGCTACGTCAACAAACAGCATGAGAAGAAAAAATTAACTTTGATATTGCAATGGATTGTTTAAAAGACTCATAAAAAAATAATGCTAGTTTTGGTACGGAGGATGTTTTAGTGGAGAGACCCACGTCACATAATGTTAATTGACCGGGAAATTAAGTTCTTATAATATCAAATCTGAAAAGAAATAAGTTTGTATCAGATATTCGTAGCTCCTCATCATCATCCGAGATTGAATTAAAATAAAGGTGAATCTTTCACAAGCAATGAGAAGTTAGGGTAATATGATACTTTCGAACAAATTAGTAAGGATATATAACACGTTAACTTGTATACATAGTTGATTCATGTAACTCACCTATACCAACAAGAGTTGACTCAAGTAGTAAGCAACTTGAGGTGGTTTAAGAGAGGTCTCGGATTCGAGCCTCACCTTATGCAGAAACTCTTGTTGGGAGACTCACCCACCATAAGCCAAGTGTATGATCTGAGTTGAATCCGAATTTAGTCAGAGCTAAGCTCCGATGAATTAGGTGGGCATCCTTAAAAAAAAAAAAAAAAAAAAAAAAAAAAAAAAAAAAAAAAAAAAAAAAAAACTTGCATATATGCCATGAAAATAGTCCGACTTGGACACAAGCTAGCTTAGCAATTTTGCATGTACATAATTTTTAATTATTAATTTTGGCACGAGCACTATAAATTATCTCTGCTTAATTGTGTCGAACCATGTCATACATGTCACTATGTGAGCTCCCTTACAAAAATTATAAAGCAAGTTTACAAGCGTGACACAGTTCGACACAATACACAGATTGTACTATACGTAGAAACTCCATTTATGAAATATCGACATGAACTAACTTAACGCATCACAACCTTTTTTTGACCTATTATTTCAGGTACAATTTGTTTACAAATTTTTACCTACATCCCTATGTAGGTAGCTCTGTCTGCACCCCCTTCCATTATAATGATGTCATCTTATAATTTTTCGGGTTTTGAATCACATATAAAATGTTCGTTTATATATATATATATAAATGTTCAATTTTGTATAAATAAATGTTCAATCTTGTTATACAACGTGCTACATTCAAATAAGTATATTTTTTTCCACTTTTATTTATAGACATTTTTTCTTATTGATTTGTCTTATTATTTAGTTAAATTAATAGGCTTAGTTTGAAAAAGTATCTTCAATGTTTAATAAAATTAAATCAATTACAATTATAATATCATTTTTAATTAATACATACTCATTGTTTCTTAATCATAAAAGGGAACTCTTTTAACTATTCAAATGTACACATGCTTAATTTTAAAACAATAAAAAAAAGTGCAAATCTTAAATTTCAAACATATACATATCATATATATATGTGCCTTACAAAATGATTATTGTTTTTTAATGTAATACATATGGTATAAATAAGAGTATATAGAATCATCGTCCTTGTCATACGGTTTTACCCCTTCTACTCTTATGCTGTTTTTATTTTTTGTTTTCCTTTATCATTGGCGGAGCCAGGTGAGGACTGTAGGGAAATAGGTATTCTAAGCGGAATCCCATGAATCATATTCATAAGCACCTAAACAGGATCTATGCACAACACATAAAGAAACACGTAATTATACCGAAGCGTGATTCCACAAGCGATCGACCACAAACAATTAGGAGAATAAGAGCCCCAAGTGTTGCTCCTCTACTTGGTCCACGGGCTAGGATTGAACCTCCACTAATGCTAGTTAGTCGGGCACGAACACTTCAAGCCACCTTCTATGGAGAGGGGAGGAAACGAACAAGCCACGAACCACCACCACCACCGTGCAACCACCTTGCGCTGGTAGTCTGTACTGTACAGACAAGGGGAGAGAAGGAGAGGCGTGTGAGAGAGGGAAGGAGAGAGTTTGGTTGCTTGCTTCATACTTTACTGCTTAGGTTAATTGTGACTTTTATACTTGACCTAGGCTTTGGACTATTTGACTAGCTCAAAGATCATTTATCATATCTAGCAACAGACAATGATGACAGGTGTACTTTAACCTATCAAATTTTGGCGTCGTTGCTGGGGAGACGGCTTAATTTTATTTAGCTTCTTATTTGGTGAGACTATTTTGTATATATTTTTTATTTTTTCCTTTTTTTTCTCTACTAATTCTTATGTTTGCAGGTTCTCTTGCTCTTTTGTGGATTTATTTTAATGGGTATTTTTTTATTTTCCACAATTTGAGAATGAGGTGTTTTGGAGATATTATTATAGGCTTGGTGACTTTGTTGGACCTAATCATGGAATTGAAGAATTAGATATGTGCTTAGTGATTTATGAGGGTTTAAATGAAGAAACTAGGTTTACAATTAAGTCTATTTGTAGTGGAGAATCTTTTGGTTGGGATTTTATTGAGTGGTTAGCTAGAGATACATATGAGTAGAAAATGACATAATATGCTAAACCAACTCTAGAAAATTTTTATTCCTTCACTTCTTTGACCAATATTCCATCCCCTTGCTATTGATCTCATTGCAGATCATATGATCATGATGACTCTTCTTGTCCTTACAATAATTTTTTCACGCATGTTCCAAACCCCTCTCCCAAGTATGAAGTGCATTCTATTGTAAAATCCAGTGTCTTACCATACATTTATAATGATGATAAAGGGTGGATTATGAATGAAAATTTTCAAGAGAACATGTATGAATTAATAGATGTTCATGATGAGAACAATGTGGATATGCTAGATATTTTTGAGGATGATGAACCGTTATATGATGAATTAGTGGTTGAGGAACCATAAGTTATGAAAATTCAAGCTAAAGATTCTTGTGCAGACATGCTTATAGAAGAGGGTGCGATTAATAATGGTAAAATCATGGATGTTGAGCCAACCTTACCTTCCCTTTATGTCCCATGTGTAGAGAGTCTTAATCTTGTGAATTCATCCTCTGTGCTTTATTGCTCTAACTTTCTCAAAATATCTCCATTGCATGATGGAGGCAAAGTGGACCTTGATGTTCATTCTAAAAACTTTATATTTCCCCAAGAACAAGTAGAGAGAAGTTGTAAATTCATCCCCTTTTCTTTCTATTTTGATTATTCTTCCTCTTCTTACTCTTCTTTTTCTTTTAATTTCTCTTCTGATTTTTCTAACCCCCTGTATTTCAAGATTTGTGTGCTTGTAGTGATCAAGCCATATACAGTGCCTAATGATATGTTTGCAGGGGCGTATGATAAGTTACTCAAGGTATTGGATTCTTCCGATTGATGATTTGAGTAGGGTCTGCGGGACCTTAAAATTAGCGCTAATCGGGAGGCAACCCGACTTCCTTTTAGTTTTTTATATTTCTTACTTTTTCATTTTTATTTTTTGTCATTTAACTAACAAAGCTAATGTGTGTTCAAGTGATGATGTCTCTTGTTAAGTACATGCATAACTAAATTTCTTAGTTTAGACATCTATCGTATTACAACTACCAATCATGGTGGAGGCGTCTATACCTTTTGACGCTCCCTTCGCTTACCCACCCCTTTGTGAGTTGTGCCTCTCCCTTATTTATGCTTTAGTTTCCTCTTTGTTCACATTGAGGACAATGTGATGTTTAGCTTGGGGGAGGATGATTGTCATCATCACTTTGTGCATGTTATTAATTGTGTTTTAGTTTAGTTTTATTGCTTTGTAGGTGTTATACGGTTTGTACCGCTCACTAGGGGTAGGAGTTTACGTACAA